TGCCAAGGTTGGACACCCCTGATTTAGAAAAACAAGTCAGATCCATCAATATACCCAAGAATAATTCTCATTTATGCAATAAAAAAACTTTTAGCAAAGAATAGAAAATGCCCCCCCCATCCAAACTCCCCCCACTGTATTTCTGTATGCAGATTGGAGATACTGCACCTGGAGGTCTGCTATTTTTCTGCAGTGAAGATCATGGAGGAAAAAATAAACAAAGTGATAAGGATGGTGGGAAAGAGAAAGTTTTGACTACGGGAAGAAGATAAATGTGAATTTTGACTTCCTTTCTTTACAAACCCAAACAACAGCTGTGCCCACAACAGAGAAGCTACAAAACTTGCAAAGAAGGCAGCAATAACTACCAAAATACCCTGCTATGGTCAACTTCCCTTTGTCTTCTAGCAGAGATGGGAAACTCACATACAAAATGCTATATATCCAATTGATCTGTCCAGTTAATAATGCTTTGTTTAATTTCCTTTTTTATAGATTTATTTCGGATTCATTCTTTTTATCATTACCTGTAGCTACCTGGAAATACATGGTTTATTAGATCTCTTGACGTATTTAAACTGCCAGAAGCAAAAAGAGTGAATTTTATGTCCAGCTGGGTGTTGCCTCCAAGAAGGGACAACAGTTTGTTTCTTGGCTGCATCAAATCTTAGAGAAATGCCTGTGAAATTAGTAATACTTTGTGTCAGAAAAATCAGAAACCTGCATAACAGCCTCAGATTTGCTGATCCACAAGAAAGTGAAGTATTCAAAATCCTGAGAGATTCAGCAAATATTTTAAAAAGCATAGCAGCAGCAAATCTAACTGATAAAGAAAGGAAGGGAATTGCCCTATAAAAGGTCTTATACTGTGATGACAGACATCAGCAAGCCCAATTCCATCTCATAACACATCCTTGCATCAACAACATTCGAGAGCACCAACAGAAGAGCTTAATTTCCAGTCCCCTAGAATGCAGTTTAATGGTTTAAGTGCTTGAGCTGATTCCGAGAACTCTCCAGTCTATATATCCAATCCGAAACTTACCAAATGAGTCATTCTATGGGAGATTAAGGAATTGAAATCCTGTTATCATTTCCTGTTTCCAAAGAACACACATTTAGTAAGGGTAGATGACAGAAGGCCTTCATATAATGGGGAATAAAATTTTCTTTTATGATTCAAGCTGTCTCTGAAACAAATGCAATGTGGTTTGCAGCAAAATGTTGTAGTATTATAAGAGCAGAGAAAAAGTCCTTCTGGATTTGCTCAGTTTCTCACACAGGGCAGTCGGATGCATTTTGAAAGCTCACATGTGAAGACCGAATGGCTTCTCCATTGTCTTTCCCTGGCTGCTGGTAGATAAAATACACTGAAAGGATTCCAGGGAGATTAAATATGGAATGCTGGCTTTTAATTCCCTAAATTCAGTACCCTTTTAAAACCGTGTATTATGATGCCCATCAGTATTTCTGATGGCAGAAAATTCCTCTGTTTAAGTCTGCGATATGCACTGTTTCTTACTTCAGAAACTCCTTAAAGTTTGTTTCAGTTGATGGCTTTCAAGTTCTATTTTGAGTGAGGAAAAAACCTGTTTTCCCCATATCATGCATGATTTTAGACATGGTTTTGTTTATTGGGAGTCATTGTGGCAGAGGGCTTGATATAGTGATCCGAACTGGGAAGATCAAGTTTGAAACCATCATGTGAGCTAGCTGATTTTGAACCAGTTGTCTCTTAGCCCAATACACCATGCAAGGAGGGAAAGGGGGAGATATTTGTGTATATTGCCTGGAATTTCCAAGAGTAAAAGAAGAATACAACTGC